TAACAAATGTGTGTGTTTTACAATTTTTTTAAATATCTGTTATATTTTAGTTGACAAGTCAACTCAACTAAAGTACTGTACATAAATGCAAAGATGCACTTGTGATCAGTTAGAAACAAAATAGATATATACAGTATTAGTATATTTTTCAACTTTTTAAACTATACTTTTAAATTTGAAAACATGAACATAGAAACCAGTTTGTGACCTATCTTGCACCTCGCTTCACCGTAAAAATGTGTATTCCCTGACTGGTTGGCAGATGGTTGCTGGAGGTTGATGGCTGTCACTACTGTGAAATTGTAACCAGGAAGGTTTTGCACCACAAGCCTCCTTGTGTTTCCTTTGGTCGTAAGCAGACTGTTGAGGTTTGCATGGAGTACTCTGACTTACTGCAAATACTCAAACTATTTGCTGTAGAAATCTGTAAAGTCTTTCATACAACCACTGCCTAACCAGCTGAGGAGTACACATTTTCCCCTAGCAACTGGTTGTTACCAAAGGTTGCTGACAGGTCTCTAGGCCTGTGTGCCTTAGACCCTACTCTATTTCTCTGCTACTGTTTTACTTCACCCACCCGGTTGTTAAGTGTTGTGCAGCTGGCGTGGCTCCTCTGTTCGTGCATCGGTGCAATAAGACTCCACTGGTTGATTTCAGGTTGATAGCGCTCTGCACTGCTGAGTCGTACATACCCGTCGTGGCCTCCCAGGGCATAGATGAACCCGTTCAACACAGTCACGCTCACATAGCAGCGGCGGGAGTGCATGGGCGCCACCTCATTCCAGGCGTGAGTGGTCAGGTCAAACCTACGGACGCTGTTGAAATGCTCCACCCCGTCGGAGCCACCAACGGAGTAGACGTACCCGTTGAGGAAGGCGGCTCCATGATAAGCACGAGGACACTCGAGGTTGTTCGTTACGTTGACCCAGCGGTTAGCCCGGCAATCGTAGGCCTCGATGCCATTAGTTGGCTCACCACCACTCCACCCCCCAATGGCCAGCAGGATGGAATGAGGCAGGCGGGGACGAGCAAGAGGGTGATACAAGGCAGACATGAAGGGTCTGCTTCCTAAATCATGTATGTCTAAGATGGCATTACTTATCATGGACAGGCACTCAGAATTGGCCTCCACCAGCTCACTAGACAGCACATTGTCCTTTAGGTAGTCTGACGTCATCAATCCCAGTCGGACCTATAGAGAGATGACAGAAGAGAATGTGACTATGAATTTCAACTACATCAGTTTTAGTAAACTCAAGCTTCTTTAGGATAATGCTCCTAATGTTGTTTAATTTTCTTATTGCTAGCAAGAGAGCGACCAAGTCAGACACCATTAGCCTTTTCGTCAACAGGGACAGTTTTTAGTCATAGCCGCAACTATACTTAATAAATATAATTTATTCTATAGTATGTGTGTAGAGATCTGATACGGTTTTAATGCTCTTGAAGAGAATTTCTTAAATGTGGTTTGGCTACACCTGAAAAGAGCAACATCTCAAGATATTAAAGCATCCTTATACCCAGATGGATCAACTCAATCTATGACTTAAATGCTGAAGATTTAAGTCCAAACTAAATGTAGTAATGAAAGTTTATAGACCTTGGACAGCAGAGCGGTGAGGTGTTGTTTCCGTTGTACAGGTACATGGCTAATCCACTTTGTAAGCGCTTCATACACAGTGGTCTCCAACTGCACATTGAGGTCCTCTCTATCAAGGATGTCAGCAAGTTCCTCCACAGTTAGCTGCAGGAACTCCTCCTCAAGAACAACCTGCTCAAAGTTACTGATGATGTAGTGGTAGGCCTTGGTGCGTAGTTCGGGTGATAAGCATACTTTTGTGAACTGCCAAATGCCAACGCAGTTCTCTGGGCACAGTTGCACAATGTCCATTGCATTGAATTGATCAGCTGCCATGAGAAGTTCCACTACATTTTCCCCCGTTATGGAAACTGAGCCGGTGTATGACAAGCCAGGTATGTTGAAGACCTGTTTGTCTGGGTCGCTGCAGTGGGTGAAAAGAGCCCTGAGGGTAGAGATGGAGACAGAGTAGAGAATATTAAAAGGTGTGGAGGCAACAAGATAATAAACTATGTCATGCACAAGTACTCCAAGTAACTCCAAAACAGAGTTTGTACATGTTTAGTGCACTTGATTGTTGGGTTTTCAATGTCTTTATTACATTGGCAGCATGTTTATGAAGCTATTGCCAAACACAATGCAGTCCCACACCATGACAGAGCCTCCACCGTGCTTTAAAGTTAACTCTAAACACTCACTGTTGTACCTCTATGACAAATATTGAAATCAACTCCATAGGGCCAGTTTACCCTGATATTTAGTCTAGTTATTGCGTAATTTGGCATACCTCAGTCTGTTTCCTTTCCTTATGGAAGTTCCAGTGCATGTTGCTTAATTGTGTGGATGCTTAAGCATCCACACTATTGAGTTCCTGTTTCTCTTTAATCTTTATACTTTATACAGCATCCACACTATTGTTTTCCTGTTTCTCTTTATTCTTTATTATTATTCTTCATCTTCAAGTTGCTTCCGTACGCTTTTTGGACTTTAACTACTTCCACAATTTTCAGCCGATTTTCACTGTT